GTAAACTTTCAGAACTTGTTCAGACGAGGCATTTGGAAAGTCAGCCCTGGTGCATGACTGCATTTATGTGCCTTATTTGCAGTGTGATCCGGCAACGGCAGAATTAACTAAAGACCCACGTGACTCAATCACACCGCTCCCCGGGCAGTCTTCATTAATTTAATGGCTCTGCGGGAGGATGAAAAATTGTCGGCGCTCAACACGGTCGACGTGCCCTGACATGCAGTGTTGTCTTTACACTTTGTGTCTTTGAACGTAACCATTATCGACCATTTGACAACTGACGCAAATCAGTGCAGAGAAGCCCAACAAAAGTTTTAGAGTAATTAAACAAACATTACTTACTTTGTTTTCCAGTAGGCATGTTGATTCTTATGCTCTTGGTACATGCATTGAATCGTGCATATCATCATCACGATCCATGGGCAAATAACCTGGTAGGTGTCCACTGCACATTTAGTTATTTGTTTCCAATGTCCTCTGTCTTGTGCCAATATCCTCAAGCAGTGGCCAAATCTTTCTGGCACCAATCACGTCTTATGTCGTCAAGGCATTCTCTGTTAGGTCTTCCTCTCTTTCTGGTTTCTTCCATTTTTCAAAACAACACACATTTAATTTTCCTTTTGTTGTCCATCCTACATATGTGTCCAAGCCGTGGCAGTTTCCTTCTCGTGCATGTACAAATGTTTTACGATTTATACAAATTGCCCACAAATGTTATGCTATTGGTACATTTAGGCTCTCGTGCATACAGCTGGATAAACAGCGACTTGTAAGACTGTCCAGATGAGTAATGCATGATATTTCTTTGGTTGAGTTGCGGTGGATTGCTTCAATGCCCCTGTTGAATTTTTCACAATTTAGTGTGGGGTCGATGGTTTGCTTGGGATTTTCGTAATCGCATGCCGGGCTTGACTAGAAAACTTCCACTGCTGAAGGGAGTGAGAAAGGAACTGCCGTGACACGTGAGGATTTCACTTTAATATGGACGATTGCTTTGATTTTTTTTTTAATCTAGAGATTTAGGCGAATGGAGTGAACAGAAAGCTACAGACGCGACAAAAAAAACGCAGAAAGCAATGCAAACCCTGCCAAAGAACAATACATACCTCGTAACCCCGAATTGTGACACTGTCATGGCCAATGAATGGTTACGTGCCCACTTTCTGGCAACAAAAACCCAGGCGTATCACGGTGTGCGCACAAGTTGCGCGGCCAACGCGCGGCACGCAAGGGCACTCGACAAGGAGCAGAGTCCAGCGTTTGATTCTTCAGACGCAGCTCTCGGCCGCCTCTGCGCCGCATGACCTTCCCAGCCATTAGCGTCCACCACCCTGGGACCATCGCCAACTGCCGGGGAGCGTTAGGTGTGCCGCGACACTGGAGGTGGCAGGCTCGAGAGAGACGTTTACTACTGGGTTTGCAAACAGCCCTTAAGTGGCGTCCTACAGTCCACGTGGGGGGAGGGTTGCGAGACAGGAGGGAGCGAGGAAGAGTAGGGCCTTCATTTGGCGAGGAGCGGCTGAGCCGAGCTCTACGATTGGGCAGGGAGGCGGGGGGCTGTTGGTTCGTTGGGCGAGCGGTTGCAGAGGTGCTCAGAAATATAAAGCCGGGGTTTTATAGCCAGGAGTCCACAGCAACCTTTACGGCAGAGCTGTAAAACAGATACGGTATGGACACGGCTCCTCTTTCAAGTTTCAAGTGAGGGCTGTCAGCATGGGGTCAGAGGTCAATACCTGAAGCAAGAAATTGCATTGACAATTCTTGTCTTGAATTGTTCCGTTGCGCTTTACATTAAAAATAATAGTGAATGCTAAACACATACATTCAGCTTTGTTAAGGGGTTCCTCTTCATAACGGTAATGATGAATTACTTGCTTTAGATATCTGGCTGTATCAATAAATATCCGTGTCACGGGTGGTGTGGTGGCAGGGCACTGTTGCGGGGAGCATTCCCAAGTTTTCTGGCCTTCGAATTAAAAACTTCCGATCCCAAAGTGCCCGATATCGACGAGATTTAGGGGTTCTCGAACTCCAATCGTTGCAAACCCACCGGAGTCCAACTTTCCATGCTTATCAAACTTTTTCCATTAAAATACAAATGAAGCTGCTACACGCTGGTGCCTGATGATTGGCAATGACCGGAAGAAAAAAAATCATTAGTTGCTTTACTTTGAATCGGTGTTCTCTGCGCAATGTGGGATATGTTATGAATCACCTGACACATACAGCTTGTGAATTAAGTTAGTTTATATATGAATGGGGAAGGTTGGTAAACGTGGAAAGTTGCACCTTGTGGTAGGTCATGAAGCCAGGCAGTTTGGAAAACCCTGGTCGAGATAAGAGTGTGAGCCAAGTGGTAAACAAATCCGTCTCTTTACCAACGTCCTACACTGGGGACAATTACAACTTCTGTGTCTGATTCAGACTGTCTAAAGCGTAATCAGGTAGAGACATCACCAGACTGCGTAGTAAGTTTGGCAGACTCGTTGAGGCTTTTCTTGGTCTAGACGTAAAACTATATGGCATATGCATGTGCGTTACATACATATACACTCAACAATTAGAATGTATGCCAAACCTGTACTAGAAATGAACGCTCATGCATTGCAGCATCGGAAAGAATGTTTTTTTTTAAATAGATTTTTATAAATTGTTATCCTATCTTGCTGGGTCACAACTGTTCAAGTTGGAATGGCGCAAGCTACCTGCTCTGAAAAAAAAAACAATCAAGCCTCTTGCTGTGCAAACTGCTACGGTTTTCCACGCATTAATCCACTGCTCTCCAACCACCAAAGACAAAGATCCCCCATTCAGCCTTTACCAGAATGTTGGGGCAAGTGCTGTTAGCGAGCACCTATGGAGGCCGGCACGGTACAGAAGGGTGTGGTGTGGCCAACACCACGCCCGGCGGCGGCCATTTGTCTCCAGAGTGGCGACGTTTGCGCATCGCGCCAGGTACTCGTTTTAGGCTGAGTCGACCTAGAAGAGGCCCAGGCCTGGTGCAAATATTTGCCAGTGTTATTTGGTCGCGTGCGGCAATTGAACTCGGGTAGTCGAGTCTCGTAGCACAGCGCGCTGACCGCCGTGCCACCGCTCGCCACACTCTCTCCCATCATCACCACCACCACCACCACCTCCACCACCTCCTCATCTCCCACCTGTACCGCCAGCCCCGTTCAACCCCCCCCCGCCCTCGCCACCCACCCCAGCCACCCACTGAGCCCGAGACAGCCGACAGCCGGCTGAGACAAGCTCGCACCGACACGAAAAACATTAAAAGCAACAAAAAAAACTCCCCCCCCCCCCCCACCGTAATTCCTTCCTAGTTTATTTGCGTGTGGTTAAAAAAAAAAATCTACTTGTTGAGGTGTAGCCGTTGTTGTTTTTTGTTATACAGATTGCCTAACAGTTATTTCAACCGTATCGGAAAGAATCCATTGGGCTCGGTGGCTAGAAAGTGTTGAGGTCACCAACGTGGGCCAGCATAAGTTGCTGGTTGGTGGTGGTGTCACGGGGGGAGTGTGGGGGTGGCAGGGTGAGGGAGGGAGATGGGGAGCACGACAAGGTTGCTGAAATTGCGGAGCAAAATGATGCAATCGACCTCCTGCTGTTAAACATTTTTTTTTTCTAATATTCACGTCTCTTTGGATAAGTTGTCCGTCGAAAGATCTAACCACCAAACTACAAACTGCACATATGTAACAACACGCTGTTCAACATAGTGTGCACATGCTTATTGTGCGTTGTTGTTTGAGCATCACGGGTTTGGAAGCCACTGGAGCTACGCACTTTTACATTTAGATTGAAAACTCATTTCTTTAGAACTGCTTTCTTGTGTGCTGTGTTTTGTCCTTCCCACGCACCTCCGATTAGCATGGTTGGCTATGTACGGTCCAAAATAAGTTCAACATATGCCACCATCTCTCCACTTTAAACGTTTTCTTTTATTCACGATACGCGAGTTCTGTGTGTTCGTGTAGCATACTCTCCAGTGTATAAAATGTTATTTAGTAGTCTTTTTGTGCTTCTAAGATTGCGTGTGCTGTTTGTACCCATATTTGAGTGTTGTGTTCAACCGTGCTTCCTCATTCCGTTGGCGCTTCGGGCCTTGTTTCAAACTCGTACGAGGCGCTGCATCAAGTTATAAATAATGATGCTGAATTACTTGAGCCATGTGCGCAGATAAAGTTCAACAAACGATGAAATGTACACTAAAAAGGTGGTTATCAACAGGGGCGGAGCTACAGGGGGGGCTGGGGGGGGGGCTCGGCCCCCCCTGAAATTTTGGGAAAGTCGGGAATCGGGATAACCGGATGTCTGGCTGCTGCAAAATGCTGCAGGCTGCCACCTTGTGTGCTGCCCTGCAGGCTGCCACCTTGTGCTGCCACCTTGTGCTACCCTGCAGACTGCCACCTTGTGCTGCCCTGCAGACTGCCACCTTGTGCTGCACTGCAGGCTGCCACCTTGTGCTGCCACCTTGTGCTGCCCTGCAGGCTGCCACCTTGTGCTGCCCTGCAGGCTGCCACCTTGTGTGCTGCCCTGCAGGCTACCACCTTGTGCTGCCCTGCAGGCTGCCACCTTGTGCTGCCCTGCAGGCTGCCACCTTGTGTGCTGCCCTGCAGGCTGCCACCTCATGCTGCCCTGCAGGCTGCCACCTTGTGTGCTGCCCTGCAGGCTGCTTGAACTTATTAGCCACATCAGCGGCTTAGACCTATTAATAAACTCTGCGTTCAAATCCAATAAAATATGTTTTAAGCATTTGTGGCGCCCATTGGAAAACATAAACACTGAGATATCTCAGAATATTGAAGTCAGCCACCCCCCCCCCCCCCAAGTGTCAAAATCCTGGCTCCGCCCCTGGTTATCAATGCACAGATTTTTAACCGTTAAAAAGAAAAACACTCCGCAGTTGCTACACGTTTGTCGCTCTTGGTGTTCCGCTACCTGATTGGCAAAACACGTTTGTGTGTGTGTGTTTGTTTCCTCTCACCAAACAGGATGCTCATTGCTGGCAGGTGGCCGTTATGGCCAGCCAGGCTCAGGTGATGTGGTGTCGCCCTCGGGTCACCATGGCAACATCTCCATGGCGACGGGCCAGGTGGTACTGCAGCAAGTTTCTCCCACGATGGAGGTGAGGCCTTCTTCACAGGCTCGCACACAGCTTCCTTTTGATGGCCATCTCTAATCTGCATTTATTAAGGCCGAATTTTTGTTAAAGGCATTCTCCAGCATTCGTGGGACGACGTTTCATCGTCATCACAATCCATGTGCTGATAGCCCGTAGGTGTCCACTGCACATATCGTCACTTGTTTCCACTTTGCTCTGTGTTGTGCCAATATGCTCAAGCAGTGCCACATCTTTTCTGTCGTCAATGTTGTCAAGCCATTCTCTGTTAGGTCTTCCTCTCTTTCCGGTTCCTTCCAACTTTTTGCGCGCAATGATTTTTTCTCAGGAACATACGGTTCCCTAATAATTCTCTGCAATATTTTTGCAACTTTGAGGAATATGAAAAAAATGCAACACTTTACTGATTTATTTATGAAGAAAAGACATGTATTCTTACAGGTGACTTTTTTTTTCCACATTACTGTAGAACATCCATTAAATGTAAGTGGGAATGAACAGCAGGCGTTCTTACAAGTGCCGGACCGGGCATTAAAAGATGACTTTTCCACTTGTAGCACATGTTGGTCTCAGATTGGATGGATAAAGTGCCCTTAAAACAAGGAATGGTTTAATGAGTTGAATCATGAGACTGTGCGGTATGGCTACAGCTAGGGTAGGCCTTCATCCAGCAGTAGATTGATCATGGCTGATGATAATAATGAGGGGTCAATTGATGCCAGCAGTCTGTTGTTTTGTTCAATTACAGGAAGACTGGGATTGAAATAAATACACCATACAGGAAAAATAAACTTGATCTAAAAACTTTAACTTTCCCTTGATAAACCAGGCACGATAACCTTCACATCCATTAGCCCTCCTCGTCTTAGAAAGTAACCCTTCTTCGTGCTCACTGCGGACCGTTCACATGGCTTACAATTGGCCTTAATCTACCCTGCGTGCGTGCGTCCTCCCCCAGGTCCACTCAGACTGAACTAAGCGCCTATGCCGGTCCCGCTCTGGGAAGCGGAGGCGGTTGGCTTGCGGTGTCAGCCGCTCACTTAATTTTGTGCCGTGGAGCATGCAAGTGGCATCGTAGCTAAGGCCGACAGCCCTAGGGACAGCAGACGCCAGGACCTCCCTTCCCTTCCCATGGCCCCCGTTTGCCCTCTCCCACCTGCGTCTGGGAGGGAAAACGTTTTGGGCCCCCGGCTCGGCGATTAATTGTCGCAATCTAGAGTTGTAGGGAGCAGACTAAGTGTCACATCACCGCAGGATATATATATATTTACGGGGTTTCTTTTTTACACCTTGAAGTCCATATTGGTTACGATACCCCCCCCCCCCACCGCCCCCCCCCACCCCCCGAATATTATGATCATTTGCCAATTAAACGTTAATGCAAACCATGTGGGTGGAGTGCTGACGTCGTGGTTAGCACACGACACAATGAATCCAGAGATCTAAATCCAGCCGTGGTTCACACAAGTGGCGAGATATATTACCTGGTCCTGCCCCCCCCCCCCCGCCCCTTCCCCAACCCACACTGACACATGGTAAAGTACGGTCAAACAACTGCCGCGATGACTGAGACGCACAAAAAAACCTTCGCCCCGGCAGTGGATTGACAAAAGGCTGGAAATGTTTTTGAAAATATTTTTTTTCCTACATGAATCAGGACCATGTTGCGAGCCTGTCTGTGTTCCACACATTTTCTGTAACCCACAACCTCTCTTGTTGTCGTCCTTGTGACCGCTGTGGTGCCAGATCCAGACTTCTGGGGGAACCTTGCCACCCGTGAGCACCCTGACGCACATCCACAACCTACACTCTCCCCACCACATGTCCCAGCAGCCTCACCAGAACCTCATCATGACCCAGCTACCCGGAGTCATGGCCATCGCACAGAGTGAGTATTTCTAAACTTCGCCACATCAACGCACCAAGACATTTCACATTCGGTACATTTATTAGACATGGCTCATGAAAGTATATTTTAATATGCCTATGTACGTATGCCGTTGAAATTTGGTTTGAATGGCTCGATGTTGGGTGTTCAACGATGAGTCGATTTATAGAATTGAAATCGACTATCACGCTCACAAATCCACGCATTAAATCGTGCAAGTGAGAATTCATTATTTAGGCTAAAGGAGCCAACAAGAGTATATACAAAGAGAGAAAAAATAACAGTACAAACGAGGTGGTAAAAGGTAAAATTTGAGCCCCGCAATTACTTTCTCATGTCAATGCTGGCGAAAAGACCTCCACTCGACGGAGCTCGAGAGAACCCCTCGAGAGGCTGAGAGCGTTAAAAGAATCCCATAAAGAACATATTCTTGAATGAAGTCATTATGAGAACTCATGAAATCGCTAGGAGGGTGATTCACGGTGTGTGGCTCACTCGACGCGATCATCCGTGTTTTTTTCCATTGCTCGTGGACACCAACTCACTCTGACCCTCCCCCTCCACCCCTCCGCCAAATGCTCCAAAACTGCAGGTCTGAGCGGCGGCCAGGCGCAGTCCATCCCCGTCATCAACAGCGTGGGCGGCAGCCTCACAACCCTGCAGCCCATGCAGCTCCAGTCGCAGCAACTGCACGGGCTGCAGCAGCCGCTGATGCAGCACGCGCAGAGCCACATGGGGCAGTCGCAATTCATGGCCACCGTGGCACAGCTGCAGAGCCCTCACCGTGAGTTTCTAACCCCTGCTTGCACGCACACAAAGACCCACCGGTATAGCTTTTTAACAAACTACTGGGGTGAGGACTGCTCGCGAGTGCTGTTGTGAAGGCCCGAACGGCACAGGAAGGGGGTGGGGTGGCCAGCATCACGCCCAGGCCGCCTATTTCCCCCTAGCGGCAATGTTTTAACACATCGCACTCGGTACTCAATTGAGGCTGAGTCGACCTAGGGGAGGCCCAGCACCGGTTCAGATAAACCGTCACTGGTGTTGGCCGCGAGCGGGAATCATCGAACTCGGTTCGCTGGATTCGTAGCGCAGCGCGCGAACCGCTGGACTGCCGCTACCTTCTGCTCGCACTCACACGCACGCTCGCTCACACGCACGCACTCACACGCACGCACTCACACACACGCACTCACACACACGCACTCACACACACGCACTCACACGCACTCACACACACGCACTCACACACACGCACTCACACGCACGCACTTACACGCTCGCACTCACACGCACTCACACGCACGCACTCACACACACGCACTCACACGCTCGCTCGCACTCACACGCTCGCACACACGCACGCACGCTCGCACTCACACTCACGTTCGCACTCACACGCTCGCACTCACACTCACGTTCGCACTCACACGCACGCACTCACACGCTCGCACTCACACGCTCGCACACACGCACGCACGCTCGCACTCACACTCACGCTCGCACTCACGCTCGCACTCACACGCTCGCACTCACATGCACGCACTCACACTCACGCACTCACTCACACGCTCGCACTCACACGCTCGCACTCACACACACGCACTCACACTCACGCACTCACTCACACGCTCGCACTCACACGCACGCTCGCACTCACACTCACGCTCGCATTCACACACGCACTCACATGCTCGCACTCACACGCTCGCACTCACACGCACGCACTCACACGCTCACACTCACACGCTCACACTCACGCTCGCACTCACACGCACGCTCACACTCACACTCACGCTCGCACTCACACGCACGCTCACACTCACACTCACGCTCGCACTCACACTCACGCTCGCACTCACACGCACGCTCACACTCACTCGCACGCACTCACTCACTCACACGCTCACACTCACGCACGCACTCACTCACTCACACGCACGCACTCACACACTCGCACGCTCGCACTCACACTCACGCTCCGCTGCTCTGCGCTCTGGGAAAGAAGCGGCGCGACGCTTCAGCGGCTGAGCGGCGCTTTAGAGTCGAGCCGCCCCCGCGGCCGCCTCCCACGCACTTGACACCTGCCTGCCTCGCAGCACGGACTCAGCGTCTGGCCCCAGCTACTCGTCGCCGCTTTAGTTGAGCTGCGCTGCCCCTTGCCCCCTGGCTCTGGGCGGCCGCCGGCACGGACGTTCGCTGCGATCGCTTTAATTTCACGCGGTTGCCGGGGCACCTTGCCCAGGTGTGTGGAGGTTGTGAAAAAAACTGTCGCCAGGGAGACTGAGCGCGGTGAAGAAATGTTGCAATTACAAGTATAAAAATGTAAGTGGTGTTCAGCTCGGTTGAGTGTGGAACGATGTTCATCTCCTGTTCGCAGCCCCTCCACCAGTGCTGCCTGGATATTCCTCATTTCTACGGCGGGGGGAGTCATTTACATAGGACAGCCACAATGAAGTGGTATCTATTTTAACGACCCTAGAGGGTATGATGGGTTGAGTTCCCCCTCCCCCCCCCCCCCGCCGGAACCACACCTGGCCGGGATTTGAACTCGCAAAGTTTAATTTGCGAGCCACACACACTACCACTGTACTGTTTGGCCAGTTTCTTAATTAGTTTAGAATGTTACACTGTGTAAAATGAACAGTGATTAACTTTCTACTTATTACTGACATTACAGGTGGAATGATGACAAGCAGTTTTTTTTAATCCTTGTTTCTCCTTTTTCAGCAAGCATACATGCCATGGTATTACGAAATGAATATGTCACATCTAAAAATAACCTCTCCTTCTCGTGTTAATTACCTTGTGTTTCCGTTTGTGACAAAAGTAAACAAAGTGTTGATCTAACATCCTAACAACTTCGAATCTCTCATGGGAAACAACATGGTCACATGGTCACAGCTGAAGTGGTCAATTTCCTTGCCTGCCCCTCTTTCCTGTGTCTTTGTGCCATCACTGACCCCTCATTACCATAGGTCACCAGGTCATGACCCCAATTAGATGATCAGGCTGATTATGCAGCCAGTGCACCAGCATCAAAGTAACTCCAAAACAAGCAGCAGCTGTAATCAGCCACGCTGACATTGGTGGACAAATTGTTAGTGACTTAAAGAATTATCCAAATTGACCGAATACAGTACAAAACTAATTTTGGTGAATATTCTTTTTCAAGGGTATCTCAAATCACTTCGGCCAAACGTTCGTGGTAGATTGTGAAGCCGGTCTACGATCCTCACATGCAGCACTTCAGTTGTAAAAAAAAAAACATTTTTGTTCCATTCATTTGTAGACGATGCCAACACCCAAACAACAATGTCGTAATACAGTTTTTTTTGTATGTGAGATCGCGTAACTATATAAATGTGTCAAACCCGCCACCGCCCGACACAGCCAATTAGTAAGGTAAAACACCGTCGTATACAAATCCCTTAGTGATGGTCACATTTAAATAATGTCAGAACATTTACTTCATTTGCAAGCTTTACTGTTATTTTCCCTTATTTCACGCCGTTTGTGTTATCAACGTCGCGGCAAGGAGTGGCGCATGACCCGCAAGATGAAGTCAACCACTACTTCTCCAGCGCCCTGAATAGGCTTCCTGAGCCACACAACGGGCACGCCTTTTATACGTCCCGTAAAAGGCGTTCGCCGCAAGTCAATTAAACCTTTAGAGCGAGAATTTATATAAATTAAGTCGGGAGCCAAATTTAGCGTGATGCGTTTTTTTTCCTTCTTCCTGTCTAATCATTGGTGACCGGGATGAGACCTTCAAATCACTCCACTTGCGAATTTGGTTTAAATCAAAGGCAGCTGAAATCCGGAATTGAACTCAAAATCGGTTCTCTGACCCCCTCCCCCCACCCCTCCCTGAGCCACCTACCAAATAAACCTCGAAAGGCTTCAGGCTTCTGTTGAAAATGAACTTGTGTTAAACAAAAAAAAACACGTGGCAACATTATTTTTTGTGTGTTTGTCTTCGTTTGCAGCGTTTTACAGCCACAAAGCAGAGCCACCACAGTACCCTCACAACGGACGCTTTTCTCAAACCATGGTCATCACAGAAACCGGAAACCTACACAGCTCCAACAAGCAGGTACAGCTGCCGCTTACCTTGTGGGGGGGCACAGCAAAGCCGCACCTCCGATTAGCACGGTTGGTTACGTACGGTGCGAAATAAGTTCAACGTACGTACGTACGTACAAGCCCACTGGCATCCACCAGTGTTTCTCAACTCCAATCCTCAGATCCCAGCCACCGCCCAGCCCACTACTAGGGTTGCAACCTGTCCTGGTTTTCCCAGGTAGCTGTCCTGGAGCAATCTGTAAGGTCTTCCCGAGACGATAAAAGTCCCGGTTATTGTGAGTTGCGTAGTAATACACCACTAAAGATGTGCAGTGTGAATGTCTCAGTAGGTGAGGATTGGAGTTGAGAAACACCGATCTAAACCAACCAAACGTTGCCCATAAATTTATCGTTGGAACAATGTGATTAACAGATACTCTTTTAGGGGAATTAAGCTGGTATGTGCATTTGCATTGTGTTCGTATTTGCAAACGTTGAGGAAATATTTTAACTTCGTTTGAACCTATGCATGACTTTCTAAGACATGTATATTGTGTTATTAACATGACTGCAATGCCACTGACACATTAAGTCAACTTCTGATCGTATTATTATCATCTTCATCGCATCTTTACCACGGTGCCTTGCCGATGACTCATTGTGCACCTTCCTTGTGCAACTAATTCCTTGACTAATCTTGAGTGCTAAAACCACAAACGCTTACCAAATGTTAATCAAATGTTTACATTTTATACTCCGTGCTGTGTGTTATCTTGTCTTATGTCAATTTCCCCATTGAAAGAATGTTCTCCAAAATGGAATTAAAGTAAAAAAAATACTAAACTAGTAACCAATAAAAGCGATTTCGATTTATACAGCGTCTAAATACAACTGCATCTCGACACACTTGACAGAGCAGTGGGATATGTCATTACAGGGAAAGAATCAAGCTTACATATAATTTAGTTTTATAACTTGCTCCCCTTTTAATTACCACACTGCTCAATTTATTGTGATATTGGACACATAAGACAAAAAGCATAATTACGTTAAAGAGGCGATGGAGTGATTTTTGTGTTGCATTCACTAATGCAGCGGTGGGTAACATACGGCCAAATTTCCATAAGTAGCCCTCAGCTTCAACCCATATGGCCCACAGCCACTTGAGTCCTACCACTTTTAAATGACCTAAAAAACTATTTACCACTGCAAGCATCTAATCGGGTACTAAAGAGGAACGTTTATCGACCTGGCAAAACTGCGTTTCTAATTTCAGTACGCGCAGTCCCTTCTGTTACTGTGAGAGACAGAAGGGACTCAGGCGCGTGTGTGTGTGCCAATGTGCGGTCCACAAAAGTTACTTGAAGGTATAATTTTATACCCCGGTAAGAAAAAGGTTTCCCAACCCCCGCACCAACGTAACAAACGACGCTGCCTGTGTTACTTGACCGCGGCTACGCGCATCCGCGTGGACGCGACTAACTCCGCATCCCCACCCTGCACCCACCCACCCACTAACACCTCCTCTCCCTCCACCAATTCTGCCCCTACCTTCCCCGCTGCACAGGTGCTTTCGCCTGACACTGACAGCCAATCAGAGCGCTCAATTCTAACTTCTGTCCCGCAGAGCCCCGCCTCGCTGCACCTGCACGCTCAGGACAGCTCCATTCAGCACATCCAGGGAGCCCACAGTGTACCCTCCAGCCCAGGCTTGCCTTCAGGTCCGCAGGATTATTTTGGCAAGAAACATTTTGTTCTCTAGGTGCAGACCATTTTATTTACGTATATTTTTATGCGTCCGTGCATTGTACCTTTAATATTTTAAAAAATGCTTTGTATGTGTTTACGTATATATGATAAGCGGGTGCAAAGGTGAACCTGACGATGTGAATTTGGATCGGGTAGATATACACAATGTGGGTTAGTCCAACTGCGCTATTAACCTGGCTGCCCGGCTTCGAATCCTGGCCACGGCTGACATCAGTGGCGAGTGATATCCCAACTGGTCCCGAGACGCTGCCCCCCTTCCTGCATCGCCACCAAACCCGCGCTGACCAGCGTGGTGAAGTATGGAAATGCAACCCCTGTGACCGACATGGCACGGGAGTGCATTAATCCAGCAGTGCATTGACAAAGGGGCTATGAACGACTGTGACATTATACGAAACTAGGCAGTCGGACAACGTCTCCTTCATTGTGTTTTGTTATTTATACTCTGCACAACGACGATTATTTTGTGTTGTGTATGATATAATTGTGCGTCGAACTGGGACCAAAACTAACAGAGGATCGTTGCCTAGACTCATCTGGCAGTTCACCAGCATTTATTCAGGCGAGCCTGACTTCGCTGATGAGGCAATGTATGCCAAAACCGTTCCAGCGTTTTCTTCTATTGAATCAGTGCTGCTGAAATTGTGCACTTCCAAAACGGCCGTTGGACCAGTGTTGTCTACCTTATCCAATTTGTTATTTTCATTCTCGACAACGACGCTAATTATTGTTTTGCATTCCGTATACTGTGCTGTAAAGCATCATGTTGCATTATCAAAGCCTGCTGAGATTGACCGTGCAAACTATGTGGTCGGGTAAGAGTGGTGGTGATGATGATGATAATGATGAAGATACATGTACATGATGTATGTGCGCAAACACAGTACATGTATACACGGAACACATATGCAGGATGTTTACAATTATTATGAATGTAATGTCTTACACAGCACAAGTTCCACAGTACTGTACTGTTGAGTCCTTGTCGTACTTCCCAAAGCCACATTTACTACATCATCATCATCAGCTATGATCGATCCACTGCTGGGTGAAGGCCTAAGGTTAGAAAGCAAACATTTACTCCGTGGTGTAACCTCCCCTCTGCCCCCACCCCAACTCACCCGGCAATTCAATGAATTGTCACAATTCGGGGTCGCGAATTGATTAAATAATCCATTCTTTTATATATAAAATTGCGGTGAATGTATCGGCCACTAGTGGCTGCGAGGGTTACATGATCCCATTACATGCAACATACGTATACGAATTGAAAAAAAAAATTCTTACATGTGCACGCACACATGATGTATCGTGAGGTTAATAATTCAATATTAATCCGTCTATCAGTGCGTCACCTCTAAGAGACCGTTATTTTAGTAGTCACGTTTGAGGAGCTGAAGAAGGTCTATGAAAGCAAATCTCAGCAATCTCTCGAACGGAGTGGGGGTCCCGCTGTGGTTAGTGAAGGAATTTTTACGTCACCAGTGGCAGGTGGTGTGCTTCTCAACACACTGTGGTGCTCACTTCTGGCTTTACTCTGAAAAAAAATTCTCCAACACCAACTTCTCTCTCTCTCTCTCCATCATGTAAATCCGCTGTTCTTTTATGTCGATCAACTGCTGGATGAATGCCTCCAAATTCCGAGCGGGCCGTGTGCGTTATTTTAACACACTTCACCTCGCTGGCCATTGCGGGTTGGTGAGGATGGGGTGCAAATAAAACAGGGAGCGTAGAAGAACGCTACAACAATTAACTTTCCTGCACTGTCTTCTCCTGCCACACCACATTGCCCCAGCCCTCTGTACACGGTGGTTACTCATCCATGCAGTAGCCAGGCTCAAATATGCTTAGCTTCTGAGTGTTTTGATGATTTGGTGCACTCCGAGAAAATTGGTCATACGCTCTCGAGACGTTTGCCGCATATTCTGTTACCATGACAGAAATTTTTTGTACAGCCCCACAATTCACACAGCCAGCCCATCGGGCAGTCCTCTCTTTCTCCTTCTTTCCTCCCACTGCTCGACTTTGAAATAAACTAAAACAAAACTATAAATTATTTTTCATTTCACCAGGAAAGGCCCACTGAGCTAAAGTGCTCTTTTTCAGAAGCAAGCAACCTGGCCACATATGACAACTCAACCAAGTGGCTTATTGCGTGGAAATTTATAGCAGCCAAATATTCCAAATGCACGTTTCAAAATGTGTAGGGAAAACCGGACCACAGGGAGAACATGCAAACTCCAAAAATATATATATATAAAACACCTCCCGTCGCTTTTCTTAAGTTCTTATTACCGAGCTCATTTCAGGAAATGTATTTACTCTTATCATTGGCATCTTCTAGTGCACTGTTTGTTGCTGGCTCATTGACATTTTGAGCAAAAGGCACGATTGTGACCACAGGCTTGTTCCTGCCTTGAATGTCACACGTGCACGTACAATCGCCATACTGCACAAAGCAGACAGCACACCCTCTCCTCGAAATGTACTCACATCCCTTCCATTGATCTCCCTGCTCCTTCCCACCACCCCTGGATACCCAATCACACAACCCTCCCAACTACTACACCCCACCCCCACCTTCTCTCCACTCCGCTCCCATCCCCAACTGCCCACAACTCCCCGCAACTCCTCCTCCCTCCCACTGACATTCTCCCCCACACGCAACACCCCAAATCTCTCTCTCTCCCCTCCCGATGCCAAGAGCGTGACCAATCCATCACACGTTCATCTCGCGGCGCACTTTGTGGGAAAATTCAGTGAGGCCGATAATTGGGTGGAAATGGAGGTTTTCTCAGACAGGAAACGCAGCGCTGCCCAACCGCGAAACGGGGGCACCATTGGTGCCCCCCGTGTCGCTCCACGGTGGCACAGGGCTCCTCTCGGATGCACGTCAGAGCCGCGCGCTGTCCTCGCCTCCTTTGATTTTTTAATTTAAACCTCGCTCTTTATTTTTTTAAGTATCTACACGCCAAATTAAATTCGCTGGGGGTATTTTTTTTTTGTTGTAGCTCCATGACTCTTGGCCATCCTGGATGCATGTGTGCGCAAGTACGGCCAGGTTTTTTTTTTGTCAATCCGCTGCTGGATGTCCGTCGTTGGGTTTTTGATGGTGCTTCACCGCCCACGGTCAGTGTGGGTTGGTGAAGGCGAGGGAGCGAAGACACAGGCGCATAGTGTGGTACCACGATGGATTTTGCTAGCGCTGACTTCTGCTACTCACCGCGTAGTCCCGCAGTGGCTTGTAACACCTGTTTGATGCACGGTGGTGGTGGCTAAACGAAGCGCTATCAAGGCTAAACACCTGTTTAGCTTCTGAGATTGGGCACATTCTGGGGGATTAAGCCATCGGCCTCTATGCACTGTATATGCACGTGCCAATTTTTCAAGTACATGCTCCTACATACAAACTCAATGCATGCAGATACAAACAACATTATTAAGCACCAATATACCCGCATGTATGAGCACTGTTTAATCACACTCACACGGGCAAAGTATGGAGGCAGCAAAAGCGAATCGAATTAAACCCGTGAGACATTATCACATCCTATCATCGAATCTGCCCTCAAGCATTGACTTGTGATGTATTAACTGCTGATGACACGTCACACACTAAAATTCGCAACAACGGACAGCACTGCATTGCGGCGTGACCCGATTACCGTTGAGTGAATTCGCACTTCACGAGACGTCCTCGCTGCCCAGATTGCGTGCGATAAGATGCTGCTGCTGCTGCGTCGTACACTTGATTTTGTTTCTGTTCCTTGTAAGGCAGTAACTAACCCTTTCATCCCCACCCTCTCGTTCCCCTCTCACCACAGCATCCTCGGCAAGCCTGGTGATGTTTCAGACAAACCATGGCCCAGACGGGCATGGACACTTGCTCTCTCAGAACCATGCCAATATGGACAACTTCCTGAGCCAACAGATGGTCTCCACGGCCCAGTAGCTGGCCACGTGTGAGATCCCAGCCTCCGCGGTGCCTCGAGGGCTTTCGTTCCCTACCACCCTGACCGCACATGACTTCCACTGATGGATGGGTCTTATATTTATCTTCAAGAGGTCTCAGCACTGGAACGCTCCGATGGAATGGAAAGGAATTCAAGATTTGTTCGAGTCGCTGCAGATACCTATGGACATGCGCTCATTAGACAAGTATAAGAAACCGGAAGGTTGAGCGGTGAAGCACATTTACCCTTGCCTTTGTGTACGAGGAAAACAAAACTTCCTTGAAAATTGTGCCTTCCGTGTCGTGCAGCAGAAAATAAAAACGTGCCTAGGGGTGAAAGTGCTTTTCTGCCGCCACATTTCAAAGAGCAATCAATTAGAAGTTCGTCACGTTTCCAAAATAGCATCAACTATGCCACAGAGCTTGGGAGACTGATGAGTTGCCAATGTGATAAAACAGTGTGACATTAACTGCATTTGTAAGTCCTTTACGGAGTTCGTAATCAACATTGCCAATAACAATAAACCTGTCTGAGATTTCATTGCAACAACAAAGAACCTTGCTAAAATGGTCACTTAAACATTACGTGTATTGCATTGCCACTCCGGTAACTGTTCTGGGAGATTCTGCTACATCACGTGATCTTTCAGCTATGCCCGTCTGGTGATCTGGACTCGAATCCCCTTGCCTGATCTCAGCAAAGATGGAAATGATGACAACTTGTAACATGACTTGATAATGCTACATCAAAAAGAAAGCCGTCCCTTGGTGTGGACCAATCAGTTTCAAGGACAACGCATATATTATCATAGTATGTTTTTTGTTTGCATTTTGACTGCAGGTATTGTGGTTAATGCAGACATGAATCCTTGTAAAAAGGTTTCAGTTTGTTGCCAGAAAAAAGGGGAAAAACCCTATTATTATTGATAATGCTAGTTTTTTTTTACAAAAATTACATGTATACCAAAAATTCCAATTTATAGAATCAGACCTGGTAAACATTGTACAGGTATGCTGTGAAGATAACAATATGAAATAATACCTTTTTATATATTGGACATTGTAAATTTGAAGCTAGGATTACCTTTACTTGATTGCTACCAAAAAAATGTTGGTTACCCTGTTTGTATTTTATGTACATTGCTTTTATTTTTTTTATGAACACAATATAACGTACACTTTGTAAATGTTTTCAAATGTGTCTCAAATATAAACATTTGGAGTTTTACGCATGTAAAATTATCCTTGAGAAATTTCTCCCAATTATTAATGTGCCTTTGTACGGTCTGCACTAAAACGTACTTCACGGTGAGTTTGAAACTAATAACGCTTGCTGTTGGTGGATTAAAACTGTGAAATTTGAAAATCGGACATCAAATCAGGACATGATAGTTGGTTTTGTTTCATTAGTATTTGTGCACGAAGGGAGCGAGGAACTTTATATACACCTGTCTTTTACAAGTTGCGTATATCGATTGTTTCCACAGGTACAAACGTTGGTTGTAATATAGCATAGCGTTTCATATTCATGAAAATATGTTTTGGAAAAACTAAAAGTAGATATACAATACTGTAATTGTATATGGATGGGTGTAGGCCGCTATTTTGTATATTTATGAAGGAGGTAACAAAATGTTTGAAAAAAAACCCCTTATAATTACTTGATTATTGTTGTCCCTATCAATACATGATTGTACAATCGTGTAACATTTCTGTGTAAATTGCAATCGTAATTACCTTAAGCACAAGCAGTGTTATTTTTATAAACGAAATGTGTTCGTTTAATTCTTTTTTTGCTAATTTAAGATTAACAATCACGAGTAGGTTTGTAATTATCGAAGGCCTTTCTGTAAATGGACCTGTTCATTGTGAGCAGTATTACTGTAAACACTTCACGCACACAATCACACAATCGCATAATGCTATCAAGTACACACATTTTTTAAGTATTCACTTGCCCAATTTCTGTTCGTATTTTGTACAAATATCTACACCGTAAATTGTGGAGTTAAATGCACACTCGTGCCAAGCAGAATTTTAAAAAAAAATTGCAAACGCCAAAGGAACTCTTCCATCTCGTGGTTAAGATCACAGACTGATGTGTGCGCGACTGCTGCATAAAGCTGTTCTGAAATAAAACCACTGGATTCTGAAGCTGCAGTGATATACCGTATGATCTATAAATTTGCTTCCAAAGAAGCACGAGGGCAGATCCTGGCAACCCGTTTCATTTCCAGTCCTTAAATTCTGCACATTCCAGCCTTGTGCAGCTGTCAATCCTTCCCCCATTCTAAAGACGAACCTTTTTTGAATGGCTATGCGAGTCAGGTCGTGGTGTAGCATCGAACGCGCAGACGGCGCAACTGCACCGACCCCCGTGTGTCAGAGGGGCCGAGGTCCCGGGCTATGAAGAGGAGGCATGTTGAACAGGGGGGCCGGTGGGGGAGGGTAGGGGGTAATTTCATTCTCTGCACCAGGTCCCATGGAAACCACACTACACCATTGGAGCCAGATATTATGTGTGTGTGTGTATATATATTGTCTGTGAGCTGGTAAACATGAAAACATCTGAACTGCCAGAGAGGGGTTTGTGACTTTTTGAGGTCTAGAGTTGAATTATTTCATTGCAATGTCTTGAGAATCACACAAAAGATACTTCCCATTTGGCAACAGCCCCAAATCCAACTTTAAACAATTGGATTAATATAAAAAAACATTACAAAGTAAGTTATTGCCGCTACTGTACCGCCATACTGCCAAAATGGCTTTTGCTTCATGATGATTCGTTTAATCATTAAATGAATATACCAAAACGAGATTGTGTACATGCCTTAATTGTGTGTGGGGCAACATGGTGATTGCTTTTTTAAAAATCAGCTTCACAAATTAACCAAAGTTGCAAAGCCTACACAGATTGCAAAATTCGCAACAATCTACAACGTACTTTAGAGACGCTTAAGGGCCCCTAACTTGCTCCCGGCTTTCGTGTGACACTAAGCTTGGCTCCTCGCCTCATAGTTACGGGTCATTCATGCCCGTGAAACACTGCGCGCGTTACAAATTGCATTATTATTATAATTAATGTGAGTGGGGAATTTGCATCTGTGCCGTGAACATTTTTTACAGAGTGATTTATTAACAGATACACCCCACGAAATCATATGGGCAGATTATAAATAAAGCGACGTGTTTAATTGAGTCATTTATGTCCGTCCCTAGATGCCGATGTGGTGTAATGGTTAGCACACTTGAATTGCAATCCAGATGCGACCGGTTCGATCTCAGTTGAAACAATGGGGCAACTTTCTTTATTAAAAATAAATAAATCCCCGTCTCACCAGAGCGTTGGGCTAAATAGCCTCTAGACGGGATTCCAGAGAGCCTCTAGAACGACTCTCTAGTGGAGGCTCGCCAGCAGTGACGCGAACAAGAACTTGCGGGGCTGCGCCTGCTTTACCTTTTAGCAAGTTTCCCCTGTGCCGGATTATCCTAGCAGCAAGAGTAGCTACACAAATGCTACGGGGCCCCGCACTTTCAAGGGCCCCGCGCTAGATGCTTTCAAGCTATCAATTCCGGTTCAGTGATTCTGCACTTGCTCTATTACTATAGTACTATACCGCCTTCGACTTTTATGAACGACTGGGTGTTTAAGGTTAGCGATTTGTCATATTACACTGGCTGTATTGCAAATGAAAAAATACAATTATTTTACTGTGCAAGTAAAAAAAAATAGTGTTTTAACATTTACGTTTTTTTTACATTTAGGGCCCCTTTATAACGTATGCTACAGGCCCCGCACTAGCTTAATCCTAAACTGAGTCTCCCACCGTATCTGCATACACTTATTAAATTCTTTAACATTCTGCTTCATAGACTTTGTCCAACATAGCCGGCTCTGGTCACTTTTTTTGCGCCGTTCAATCGCCCTGTTGAAAATAAAGCCGGGGTCATTAAAATTCGGTGGGATATCCGTAAATCGATCGCACTGTACTCTCGACTTTTAAAATACTCGCTGGTTAAGGCAGAGCAGCAGACCTTAACGGGGCACTGATACCAGCCGGGCTACGCGTGGTTATGCATCGCAGGTGTACTGATGTTTTCTTTAGCAGGGCTGCCGGCGTGCTGTTGAGTTTACTCGCGTAGCAGTTTGTTCATTCTGTGCCTTTGCTAGTTGCGCACGGACATTGTTTATAAGGTATTATTACAATGTCTTCACCCACCACCATGGCAAGCTGAAACTTCCCCAACAAAAAATTCTGTTACGTCAGATCCACGTGTACAGAATCCAGAAGAGCCTCCAGAAGGGAACTGGCAATGTTCAGATACATCTAGAAAGAATGTCTAATCACGTCCAAAAAAATACGTGTTGAACATTGAGCACATTTCACTTGAGATTATGTGAAATGTCCTGTGTCATGAGGAATGGAATAATTATTTCTGAAAGTTCATGTTTTTCCAATGCAGACGGCGAAGGAAAGTGAAGTTAATTGTTCGCACGGCTAAGGTTACACAAAGCAGTAACAACATATCAAATGTTGTCACGTTGCATAAATCCAATGTCACGTTTCGTTATTCAGTGTGTATACAATTCACGTGCATACTGTATTAATTCACAATTTTTTGTAAAAAAAATTCTGTAAGTATAAATTACCAATGGTTTAATGATCCCAAAACACAATGAGAAGCATAAGTAAGGCACCGTGGTGATTAGTTGCTGTATAATGAGAATAATGTATGGCAAAAAAACTACGAAACAAACCAAAAATCCAACAATATTTTGCCTTTTTGTACTTAAACTGCCAGAACACATTACTTTGAATATCCAAATGTGAGTCTTGTGAATACACAGAGTGATTTTAAATACAACTTGTCGTCTTTGGGTTATTCTAGATTTAAAACTTTCGTGACTGCTCGGATCCATACTCTTTGGTTCTATTGGGTAAAGTCACGTAGGTGAAAATAAAATAAAAAAATCACGACGTTTCGGCGACAACACAAGCGGCCTTCATCAGGTGAAGGGACGAGACTGTCTGTTCCAGCGCTGTCCTCCAGACAGTCTCGTCCCTTCACCTGATGAAGGCCGCTTGTGTTGTGGCCGAAACGTCGTGATTTTTTTGTTATTTTATTTTCACCTACGTGACTTTACCCAATAGAACCAAAGAGTATATCTTTGGGTTATGTTTTTTTATACAGATGGAGTTAACTTTCTTTGCCTTATGATCCACACGTAACATCAATACTCCGAAAACGTTGCACCACTCATCAAAACAGATCATTTCTACAAAAAATACAATAGCGATTACAGAGAATCATGCTATTCTCAGAACATTAGCATCGTTATTAAAGTCGTCTTCTGTTAGACTTCTGTTAATTTTTCTAAATTAAAAATAGCATATTTTATCCATCAGCCCAAAGGCTTTCTAGACTAATTATTTGATCTTTTACGTGGAGAAGACAGACATCTATTTAACTGACGACTCAATTGTCCACAGCAGTGTGCTATGGGTCTGGATACAATTTTATCAGTGTTTACCAGCTTGAAGTGCTCCACACATAACGTTAATGTTCAAGCTACAGTATTGCCTATGCTAAAAATTTAACGAATCAAATTAACACGGCTGCTATAAATAAATTGCCGCTACCTTGCAGGAGATAACGACCAGAGGAAGCAAAATAATCAAAACAAAGTGTTGCCATGTGCCATTACTGTAATGGGTTTACTCTTACTTGATGCCAATCTGTGTTTCTCTTTAATGGGCCCCCAAAGTCAGAGATTAGCTGTTGGTTGGCCTCTGACTAGAGCCAGTGAGTCACCGCCAGTAGGAGGAGCAAAGCAACGTTCTGGCTGGATTCAGTGAATGCCTGGCGGGCAAAATGTACACACGCAGCCTGACGGACCTACCTGTGGCCCCACTGAGTGTGTGTGTGCATACGTCACTCTGCCGTGATACGATGAATAACAATCACGTGGGGGGGGGGGGGCACCTCAGGAATCTCGGTGGCTTTGAGCGGTTTGAATCGGCTGCTTTGTGCCACAGGAAATGTTTCCCCCAGCCATCCGTGCTGTCATCTCACTCAAGGCCGTAATTATAATATATAAACATCCCCCCCCAATATTCAAATATGCTCAAAATGTCCCCCCCCCCCAATATATTGCTATAACAAATATAAAAAAGTAATAATAATTGCTATGCTATGTAAATAAAAACAACAATTTGCTAAACCTTGGTCACAATATCTGGACTTGTCTTCGTATAAATGAATGCATAGATTTCTGTTTATATGATTGTGGTTATGGTTGTGCCTTATTAAATCCCTAATCTCAAACATTGCATACAATGAAACAAGAAATGGTAAAAAAAAAAGTAAAAACAGAGCAATGTAATACAATACACTATTAGACATTATTGTAAAAAAATTAATAAAAAGTTCATCCCATGTGTTAGTGCATTTTTAAATATGTTTAGGCAGGATATGGCAGGAAATGAGTTTTCAAATTTAGATATTTTTCTGGGTTGGGACCCACAGACCCCCTGGAAGATTTGGTCCCCCCCCAATGTTGACTCCATGGCTACGGCCTTGGTCTCACTGCCCCCTTTTGTTCAAGTCCAGAATCAAGACCTTCCTCGTCTTCTCTGCCTATAGCTGACCACCTCTTTCCTTCTATAATGAGTATAGTACTAGCAAACGCTTGTATGAAAATTGTATAAATGAAACAACAAATTAGACAAGATGCCGACAGGTGAGTGATCACAATGAGTGAATGTTATGCCTTTTGTTGAATAACTTTCAGCGAATATGACTACTGACTCTGTACAACACCTTGAAATGCGGTCGCATTTTTGACCCAGTAGATTTTCAAATTTGTATCGAATTTTACAGAGTGATACACTCATGGATAACCCCCACCAAAATAATCGTGAAACTACAACATTTTATTTCAGAGCTACCTACACACCAGTCTCAATATACGTATTAAATCAATCGTCACTTTGACAAAATGTGGTCACCTGTTGAGGGGAAAGTAAGAGGATAATAATTGTTATACAAATCAGTGGCGTATCTATTACGGAATCTCCCTGTGTCCCTAACATGTGCGCGTGCACCTGCACGTTAATAGCGTGTGCTTATTTTCTTGCTCACGCAATGTACACTTGTACATTTGCGCACACAGACAAAGATCCATCTCCCGTGTAGCCTTAACCGACTTTTGAGGCAAGTGCTGTTAGCGAGTAGCAGCTATGAAGGCCGGCACGGCACACGAGGGGGTGGGTGGCCAACACCACGCCCGGCCGCCTTTGTCTCCCGAGTGGCTATGTTTACACACCGTACCAGGTACTCATTTGAGGCTGAATAGACCTAGGGGAGGCCCAGGACCGGTTCAAATAACCGTTACTGATGTTCGTGAGCAGGAATCGAACTCGGGATGTCGGGTTTGTAGCGCAGCGCCCTAGCCGCTACACTACCGCTCCCCACATTTGTGCACACACACACATATATGCGCACATGTGTGTGTACGTGAGTGTGTTTGGGGTCGGGCGTGGTGCTGGCCACCCACCCCTCGTGTGCCGTTACCGGCCCTCATAGGTGCTCGCTAACAGCACTTGCCCCTACAGTCTGTTAAGGCTATACGGGGGATCTTTTATGTGTCTTTGTGTGGGGAGCGAAAGTTTGGTGGTTAGTACACTGCGCTACAAACCCGGTGAGCCGAGATCGATTCCCGCTCACTGCCAACATTGGTGACAAATGTCTAAACGGGTCTTGGACCTCCCTTAGGTCAGCACAGCCTTAAATGAGTACCTGGTGTGATGTGCAT